TAAAAATCTCAGCATTTTTGGGCAGTTGGGGGGAGGGGAAGCAGCAGGAGGGTTAACATGATGGCTGTCTTTTTTTTCTTTTATAAGAACTAGGATGATGCTACACACTGCAGCCCACCCTACTGGTCAAAATGAAAAACTGCATCATAAAGACCGTTTGGTTTTTTTTTTGGAAGCAGGTGGGGGATAAAGGAGCTTTTCAACTGGCTCCCAGGGGCATTTTCCTGTCCAGCCCCCGACTGACAGATGTAGCTCATTTTGGAAGTACTATTAATCTATGCTACCCTTTTGGTTGTTGGACTCACAAGTGGGGTAGTGATTGGGCTATAAGCATCTAATAAATTTGGTTCCATTTCTGATCATTTAAACTGGGCTGCTCTATGAAAATGATATCCTTAAAGGTTGTTAAGAAGTCAGTTATTCTTAGCATGATTATGCAATTAGTAAACAGTATCCTAAGCCAAAAAAACCCCTTAGTCTTAAATTTAATTTATTTCTTGTACATTCGAGATCTAGTTGGAGCAACTTTTAAAAAGAATGATAAATGGAAACTTTCTTTACCTGGCCCATCATTTGTTCTATAGATTTACTGACAATCAGTGCTATTACACTCCCTGCCAGGGCCTTGGGGGAAAAAAGGAATATTTATACATTGAGTTATGGCTAGATGGAGAAGGGGGAACAAAAAGAGATGGGCAGGAAGTCAGACTATATAGAACAGAGAAGAATCTGAGACCTTCACTGCACATGGATTAATCACAGGAACTAACCATGCAAATCCAAATGGATATTTAGAAATCGGTGAAGCCTCTAAGATGTTCTGTGAGAAACACCATACATTTTCTGATGCATGAGTTTGTGCAAAATGGTATCTAATTTATAATAAAAGTGTCAACAGAACTTAAGCTCTGGTGTTACAGATGTGCTCTATAATATATGTACATGTGAATAACATTTCACATATATGGGCACATATGTACCCCAGATATTTTAGTGCTATATTCAAAAATATAGGTGAATGGTTATAATAAGAAATAATAAGCTGCAGTGTCACTAATCTTACCTTAGTTCAGTTTTGGGAAGTGCATTACTATTAAATTTATCCATGAAAATCTGGCAGTATTAATGATATTAAGCATGAAAACTAACTGATTTAGATCAGGGACCTTTATTTTTAGCATTTTCTTTAGGATTTATTAGTTTATAGAGGGAGTAGTGTGACTCATGGGTTCTTAAGTATTAAATAAGTCAAAAGTCCTGTGTTCTCTTCCAATGGCAACAATAAAAACAGAAACCAAAAAATTATAGGTAATCTTGCATTAATTTTAATTTCCCTATAGTATTCAAATATATTTGGTGAATAGCAAGCCCTAAATAGTTTTGAACCATGCCATACAGTTGACTGCAGATGTGAAAAAAGTCTTTTTAGTATAGCTTATAATTAATTAGAAGAGAAGTAAAAGTGATGACTTTATACTGACATGAAAAAAATTGAGTCTTATTGAATAAACAAACATATATTTATATGTTTTATCTGTTTGTTGTCTTCATTTAGTTTTTTATGCTTGAACTGCTGTCTTTTTAAATTTCTTTCTCATTTCTTCAGTAAAGTTATCAGTATGGCCTGTTTTTGTTCCTAAATCGTACCTGCAAGTTTGGAATCAGATGGGTTTGCTGTGAGTCAAAATAGTTACAAGGGGAACATCATCACGGTTCATTTTCCCCCCCTGTTTTATTTGGAATTGAATTAGGAAATGAAAGTTTTTAGCAGTTTAATTTACTTCTCCATAAAGTTTATGGAGCAGCAACAGCTGGTTGAAACCATGGCGGAAGAAGCCAACTTCTAGTGGCCAAGCTATTGTTTCAGAATTAAGGGGGAAAACTCATTAACTGTTAATGAAAACACAGGGAATAAAAACAAATAGCACAGAAACCCTAGCAAATAATTACCTTACACCTGACACAAAGCTGCTTTATCTTTCTGCTCCAACCCTCAGAAATTCCCAACTTATCACTCTATGGAGCATGAATGAAATTGAGTTCGACTCTCAGGAAAGAACAATAGAGAAATCATCCCTATATAGGCCCCTCAGCACGATATTCGGTGGAGAACTTGCCCTGGAATATACTAAAGAGTGTATCTAGCGCCCAATTCTTATGACACTTAGGATGGAGAAGCAAATTACCAGCTAATAGCAGATGAACTCTTGATATAGTTCCCCCAGATCTTGTTTAGAAGTAAAAAGAGAAGGGACTACAGGTAGTGGATGTGATTAATGGAGATACTGTGTGTTAGAATATATATCTGTATAGAAATATATTGATTCTGAGAGAGTTGCAATGGGAAAGTGTGTCTCTAGTGGCAAGGGGTCTTGCTTGTGAGAAAGGCACTCTAAGCAGATGGAGTTCTAAGCCCTAATTGTAGAGCTGCTGAGTGGAAATGTCTGTCACTATAGCTTGTGATCATTTATGTCTGATCCCACTGGACTATGGTAGTGACCACTTGGAACTGTGAATGTCAGAGCTGTAGATGAATCCAGAGATCACTTGAGGTTATGTTTTAAGGAAAAATGATGTTCTAAATTTAAACAAATCCAAAATGACCACAGTAATTGCTGGTTCTCCAATAAAACTTTTCACCCATGCATCTTGAGTAGTTGTAATCATTTTAATTACACGGGAGTGTCTATTTATATAGTGTTAGAGGCTTTTTTCTGTGTGTGCCCAAGGGAGTTGGGCCACTTGATACGACACTAAAAATACTTACAGCAACATTTCCATCAGCAGGAACTAATTATGCTTGGATGTAATACATATTTTTAAATGTTTCCCCCACACAGTCATTTTTAGTACTGACCTAGGCTCTGTTTTTGCATTGAGCTGTATACCTTTGTTGTATACTTTATGGAGGAATAGACTTGTATTTGGTGTAGGGATGTCTTTTAAAAGCCCACCTTGTGTAAATATATTCAGAAACCATAGGAATCATACGGAAGTGACTTTTCCATCTGAAATTAGTAAATCAAATGCCAAATCCAGGGAGGTATTTTGAGTGAGACTTTAAAAATGGAAGCTCTTAATGCAATTTGGATTGGATCCTAAAACAGAAAAAGGACATTAGGGGAAAACCTGGTGAAATCCAAATAAAGTCTATAGTTTAGTTAATAGCAATGTGCCAATGTTAATTTCTTGGTTTTCACAGATACGCTCTAGTTATATAAGAAGTTCACATTGGGGGAAAGTGGGTGAAGGGTGTACAAGAACTCTTTCTGCTATCTTTGCAATGCTTATAATAAGTCTAGAATTATTCCAAATAAAACATTCATTTAAAAAACTAAAAAAAGCCTGGAACTGCTGGAATATATACAAGTAGATTTGTCAAATTTGTAAAACAAGCAGAAAAGTTTGAGTCTAGAATGGTAGTTGGTAAATAATGTTCCATATATCCTACAAATGTTAAATTTTTCTTGGAAACCCAAACTACTTCTTCCTCTTTTTCTTCTTTCTTTTTTTTAAATAGATTTTCGTTTGGCTCAAATTTTAAAATTTCTTTAGTCTCACAGTTCTCTTTCAGTGATTTGCAGTGGTATAAAATTTGAGTACTTTAACCCTCAGTCCAGTATTTGAGAATGTTTCTGATTATAATGGATATTTCACAGTGATACTTTAAACATAACTGTAAGCTTTGTATCCTGATCAGTTACCTGATAAAGGAGAGTGTTCTGGCTCTGGCCGGTGACTGTTGTGTGAGATGTTGTTACTGTCTTTTAATTTTACCTTTTTTCTCCACTATAAACTCTACAGTTTGTTTCTAAAGTCCTATATCTGCAGGTGTTCACTCAGTTATGGACTTCTACCTACCACTGAGCATTCACAGAAGAGTCTAGATGATCATCTAATTTATGGAAAGGAAGGCTACAGCCATTCTCTTTTTATCATTTTATATCCTCCCTATCCTTCTAGTTTAATTGTAGGAAATAAACCTTTAAAGTGAGGCAATACAGATTCTATGTAGGTTGTTTGGTTTCACTGCTCCCTAGTTGAAATCCAGGGCCAAAACGCTACAGTGTTTACTGAGATTAGCATTGGTGATTTCCTTTGGAAATTAGTATTTGAGATAATATTAAATTCAGTTGAAAATCCCCTTTTCGTGTTTGTGAAATGAACTGCGCAGCTGTTGGTGTTCTCTTATCAACAGACTGTACCTCTGTTTGGGGGATTTTAAGGAAAGCCATTTGCAGTGCAGAGCCTTTTCTTCCGGTTTCTGAATGAGCTAACATCTTCTGTCTGAACCTTCTAAGTATCATAATAGCATGAGCCACTTCTACAAAATATAATCCAATGTATGTTGAAAACACCCAAAAGGAATTAGCATTGTTTTAATTGCATAATTCAGTATTGTATATACATTACCTTTCATCAAAGCCATTTTACAGAACAAATATTACCTTCTTAGGGCTTTTAGAATTCCTAAGAGGTTGGTTACTTAGGCTGTAAACCTGAATTATAAAGAGAGAACTTTCTTAAGATTGCAAAACAAGTAGTGATTTAAATTGGAATAAAATCCAGCAAAATCTAGGTTCTCTCTATTTTTACTTCTCTTATTTTTCAGAGGAAGGAAAGAATACTGACCTTGCTACATTACATCACGTATAGAATGTTAACCCTTTGTGTACTATTTCATTTGGAAATATAAAAAGAAAGAGCATTCATGGTAAGGGTTGTAATTAATGGAGACATAGTATATATGAATACATATTTACATAGTTATGTTTTCATTTTAAGTGTGATAGAGAAGTTTCTCTGATGGCAAAGTTTTCCCCACTCTAAGTTAACAGTTTCTAAGTTCTAGTTAGTTAGTTGAGTGGAAAATGTTAATAGATAGTGGCATGTCCATCAGATAAAAGACATGTTTTTTGTGAATACTGGAAGAAATCCACCAAGACCTTCATAAGGATATCCAAAGTCTGACCTTATTTTTGTTCCCTTTTGTCCCTCAGGGGGAGACCAAGCTGAAAATTTTCTTGTACAGGACAGCTCCGACGATAACCACAGTGGAACTCATGGTCCTTCTCTCACATCTGATGCACCTTTTTTGTCAGATTATCAGGATGAGGGTGAGTGTCATTTTTCTGGATTTTGGGTGATCATACTTTTTACTTTTTGGTGTCTTTGCCTTTTGCCATTTTGAATCAAGCAGCCTTCAGCGGGTTCTGTGTATTGGTAATCACTAGTCTGCAAAGAACAGCTGTTTGTTCCATTGCGGTGCTGATCTCCCCAGGTAATTCAGTACTTCTGAAGTTAATGTATTTAGGGAAACACTAATTCTATACTGGAGCAGGAAGACATCATTATTGATCTTTTTATAAGAACTGTAGCTCAAAAGCTAAGAGGGCATTTCAAGATTGCAGGGCCCAGTTTACCATTTTTCAGATTTCTTAGCTTCACTGAGTTACATGAGAATTAGATGTTTCATTTAATGATTATTGGATTGTTGATTGATTGTGGATTACTTGGGAGTCTTGAGCACATCATATTATAATAAAATATCATTTTTACCCCTGCTTCTCACATACTCCTGACCATTACTGGTGGTGTCCAAGTAGAAGGGGAAACCACAAGAACCACAATACAAATCTTCCTGTTTTACTTGACAGTTTGGGAATAGGAGAAAGTAAATAATTCAACTGTTAGAAACCTTATTTTTATATTAAAAACACATTGGTATGTTAGAGAGGAGTGTAAAATATGCATGAACTTTTAAGATACATAAATGTAAAAATTTTGGCCTGGTGGCTGCCAGTTTCTGGCCCGTGCTCAGATATCCCGAGGGTGGGGGGTTTACTGTGACTTTCTGGCATCTGGCCACTTGAACAGAAGGTTTGATCATCACTGATGCACACGGTTATCTTATCAAAGTCTCTCTTGTGCCTTTCCAATGGGGAAAAAGGTAGAGATGCAACTAAACTGAAAATTAAATTGGAAACATATTATTCACTTAGGGATTGGGAGTAAGGTTGTTAAATTATTCCTTACTTCTCTTTATTAGTCTAATCTTTCAATTTATTTTTCTTCTAAATTTCCCTATAATTTTGGCATTTTCCAAGAGTTCACATTCCCTAATTCCCTTCTCTTTTTAATTTATCCATTGATTCTTATTTCATTTAGTCCTTTTGGCAACTCATATAGTCTCCCTTTCACTGAATTGATAACCCCTATCTCAGAACTATGGATTCAGTAACACAGAAACATTTTATTCTGCTGAGCTTTGAATATACTAGCACAATTAGTAATACCCAAGTTTTAGAAATTGGGCTTTATAATTTAGAATCTGTGTACTGGTTCAGGTATTACAGTATAAGCATTGTTTGGATTGAAAGCTTAGTAATTACATTCATAGCTGATTAATAATTTTAGAATATTAACAGTGCAAAACATTTTTAAAGAAACCCCAACCTTTCACTTGTTTTTGATTAATCTAATGCTTGACTGAATTAGAAAAATAGTCCTCATTAATCCATAGGTCACTTATTTGGTATTTCCAGCTTACCCAAACACAGCTGAGAACACTAAGTAAGCCAGAAGGACCTCTAAGTGGAAATAGATGTTCCTGAGTCCTGTGTTAACACTTACGTACCTTGTTCTTGGTAAAGCCCCTGAGGTTCTCAGTAGGGATTCCTCTTCTTACAAATTTCTAACCATTATAGTGTTTGGATTTCTCAGTGCACAGTAGAATGAAACACCAAATTAGGAGGAAGGGATAAAGAAGTACAAATTTCAAATTATAAAATAAGTTAGTCATAGGAATGAAAGTACAGCATAGAGAATAAAACCAATAATATTATAATATCTTGGTATGGTAATGGAGTAACTACACTTACCATGGTGAGCATTTAGTAATGTATATGGTTATTGAATCATTATGTTGTACATCCAAAACCAATATAATATTGTGTATTAACTATATTCCAATAAAAAAAGAGAGGCATTAACAACAAACAGTATTGAGGTAAGAAACAGGAAAACAAAAATATATATAGAAAACAAAACCTGTAAATTAAACAAAATTTATATAGGAAATCAAAAAACATAGCAGTCTGGAGCTATATTGTATTGTAGAGAGAAATGGCCCAAACTCTCCCCTAAAAGCTCAGTACCTTAATAAGGTAAAACTTTTGAGCTAAAATTTATTGAGCACTTTACCAAGTATTTTGCATATAATCATTTAATACTCAGAACAGCCCTAAGAGGTAGATACTAGGATTATCCTCATTTTACAGATAAGGAAACTAAAATCCAGGCAAGTTAACTTATCTAAGATGACACAGCTAGTAAGTAGTAGTGTGATGATTTATACCTACACAGTCAAGTTCTAGAACCTCTGCTTTTAACCAATCTGCTATCCTTATCACTAACCTTATTTAAGTTATCCAAAAAGATAGATTCAGACATTTTGGTCAAAACTATACAGGTACACATACACATAGTATGTTTTAAAATGTTGTTATTAAAAATAGTTGAAATCTTAAAAAAAAAAAAAAAAGTGATGAAAGAGATAAACCTTTTATCTAGAAAATTCCAGTGTGGAAACTTTATTTCATAATGGCTCCATATAAGAGAGGTGTTAACTATGTTACTAATATTAACTTCTTACTTAATAGATTTTTATTTTTAATTCTGTGCCTTAAAGTTCAAAGAATACCCAAAGTGACACACAGTCAGTGGTAGAAGTAGGAATAGATTTATTTATTCAAAATTTGGTTGTAGGATGATGAGATAATGTTTAAATATGAGTTTCTGCAAAGCATTGAAACTAGCACTGTGCCTAAGTGCCTGATGTCTAATGGGCACAATAAATGTGTTTCCTTTCCCTGAAAAATAAAGATATATACATTTCCTGTGAAATTAAAGAGAAAGTTATGAAGATGTTAACATTTTGAGTTAACTTTTTATCCTGTTTAACTAAATGTTGCTATTATAGAAAACAGTAGTACTAGATATGCTACTTATTATTTTAACAAATAGTTACTTAGATATTACAAGGTAACAGCAAGGCAGTTTGCTAAGCTGTAAGTGAACTATGCAGTTAAAAAAGTCAGACATAGTCCCTGCCCTCATGGAGTTTACTGTCTCATTGGGAAAACACACTATTAATAACTAGACAAATGAACAAAATATAGTCAGTGTCTTTGTTTGCTGGTGAGATAGCTAAGGCGATCCTTTAGGAAGAAAAGATAGTCTTCTTTAACTTTCTTTGTAGTAACAGTTATTTTAGACTTTTAGAATTCTATATTAGCAAATGAAAGGTCACTCTTAAACTGTTTCAGCTTTGTTGCCTCCCACCTCCAGCCAGTGCAGTGTCCCAAATGTACAGTTATGAGAGGACACATGGTTTGACCTACCTACCCATAACATCAGTGATGAGAAGCAATAACTATGGTGTGTGTTGTGTTTGGATTATGTTTTTGTGAAAATTACAGAGGTCTAGAAGAATATAGAAACCTGGCCAGGTACAGAGCAGAAAGTGAAAACCAAGGTTACATACTAAGCCATGCATTAAAAAAAGAGAGCACATTGCTACCTAATCACTGTTCCTTCTCCTTTTCTTTTGTAACTGCCCTCAGTTGGAGATCAGCAGGCTATATCCTATGGGGAGATGCCCACGAACAAGAGCGTAGCCCCACCATTGGAAATAAAAGCTTGCTAACAAGTAATAACATTTAGACTTCTAAATCTAGGGAGGCATAGTTTCCTTCATATTGAAGGAAAAAAATTTAGTTTGAAACACTGGATACAGTAACTGTACAAAAGCCAGCCAACTATGAAGCTCAAGATCTGATTGCTTTCATTGTCTAAAATATAAGATGGATTTTCATGTGTTAAATTTTTTTCCTTAGTATAATATAGAGGCTCCTATGTACATACATTCTTAAAAGATGGATTGGGGAAAGTGATTGTTCTACAAACAGGGTATAGTGACTCCTTCTGGAAGAGAAAGAAAAAATAAAATAAAATTATTTTATCAGAGAAGAACCTAAAATCTGTAATAATGTGTTACTTATTATGTATTATGTATGATTACATTCTAACTAAAGAAAGGGGAATGAATGGATTTGGGAAAGCTGTATGAGGAAGAATGAGAATGTTTTTAGGGCTTATTTTTACATTAGGATATTAAAGGTTTGAAAAGGTTCTTACTAATCTCCAGAAAATTAAAAATAGAATTAGAAAATAATGACTTGTAACCATCTTTGGAGAAAGGCTTGTTGTTGATCAATTTATTATATGCTACTTGATTTAAAAGAAGTTGCAAACCTATTGAAATACCAGTAGTGGCCATTTTCAATTCCATGCTTTTTCTGAAAAGTATATTAAAAACATATAGTGACTTTGAAAATAAAGAGAATGAGTATTTTGAGCACTTTCTTTTTACATTCCTCTGCTTTCATTTAAATTCTGCAATAAAAGTCAGTTTTGGGATTTGATATTATAAATAATAATAGACTAACTTTTGTTGATTGCTCTTTTATTTCTGTAATAATAATAATAGGAAGAACTTACTTTTTTAATATCTTCCCTAATGGGAAGAAGAATGTCTTTTTAAACAAAACTATTTTAGTATTATGAAATAAAAATGAAGGTTTAATTTATTGATTAGATTTTTATGGCTGAAATTCTTGTTTGTCTTAAATTTCATCATATCAAAGTTAGAATCATGGAATCTGGCAACTGGAAGGGGTAATAAAAAGAGGAACTATTTAGTGAGCTACTAAGTGCTTTTCGTGGATTATTTTATTTAATTATTAGCTCAGAGAGGAGGAAGGTACTGTTATCTCCATTTTACAGGTAAAGAAGTTGAGGCTTAGAGAAGTTAAATGATTTGACTAAGGATGACGTATCTAATCCATGGCCTGGGGGTTGGGAGTAAAATTCCAAAAGATTCCAAAGCTGCTGCTTTCCCCGAAGAGCTGTAATTAGCTCAGCGATGGTCCTGTAAAACACCCACTCTATGGGATTTGCATCTCATTCTCCTTATTGCTTTTACTCCACGAATTTCATGTTTATTTCAAAAATAAATGTATTCAGAGCTAAAAATTATCCCCTAAATATTACTTTA